TGTGTGTGTGTTGTTAAGTGCCGTTGAGTTGGTTCTGACTCATAGCTACCCCTTTTCTATAGGGTTTCTGAGGAGCATGAAGACCCTTTGGAGCATAGTTTTATTCTGACACTCAAGGGGTTGACATCAATTGGAATTGACTTGATGGCACTTGGCTTGTTTTTTGTTGTTGTTGTTTAACCTCATAGTTTAGTTGACAATAGGGATAAGTAAGCATGTTGTTACTAATCTGTGCTTAGATGCTATAACAGAGGAAATACAGATCGCCTTAGGGGCATTGGTAGTTCAGTGGTGGGATTCTTTTCCATGTGGAAGACCTGTGCATCAGTCATCAGTTGACAGCAGCTGACAACATTGTATATTGCATTTTGTTCATTTGGTGATATAAATTTCCCTTGGGATTTATTCTTGTCCACAGTGCTTGGCACATAGTTCATAATGTGTGATTGTGAATGAATCAGAAAACATAAATGTCATGTTTTCTCCTCATTGAATTAAAAAATAATCTTTTCTTTTTCCATAAAGATTAAGCACATGATGGCATTTATTGAACAAGAAGCCAATGAGAAGGCAGAAGAAATAGATGCAAAGGTGAGATACCATTTTCTAGTTTTAAGAAGTTACCATAGTTTCATGTTGTTTTACAGCACAGCTGCTCCATAAAAGAATTGGACTGTGAACCACAAGGTTAGTGGTTTGAGCCCACCAACTGCTCCACGGAAGAAAGATGAGGCTTTCTGCTCCTGCAAAGATTTTTAAAAAGCCTCGGAAACCCTATACAGGATTGTTAGAGTCAGAATCGACTCGACAGTACTTAACAACACTCACACACGCACATACACAGACTCAGATATACATCTATGTATATATACAGAGAGAGATTGATCTCAAGGAAATGGCTCATGCTGTTGAGGAGACTGGCAAGTTCTAAGACGTGTGAGTCAGGATGGAGACTCTTCCTGACTGATGTAGTTAGTTGTAGGGACTGACAGTCAGCAAGTCAGACAACAGGCTACTGACTCACAGGGATGCAGAAGCTGGCAAATCTCAGTATCGGGCCAGACAATAGACTTAAGTTCCAAATGCAGGTTCCAGAGCAAGGGAGGGCCTTGCCAGAGCATCTATCCATCTATCCATTTATCTAGCCCAGCTGGAGAAGAATTGATGCATTTGAGTTATAGACACACACACACACACATAAACACATATCTTGTTGTAGTTATGTGCCGTAGAGTTGGATCCAACTCATAGCAACTCTGTACAGGGTTTCTGAGGCTGTAAATCTTTACGGGAGCAGAAAGCCTCTTCTTTCTCCCATAGAACAGCTGGTAGTTTCGAACTGCTGACCCTGAGGTTAGCAGCCCAATTCGTAACCACTATGCTACCAGAGCTCCTTATAAACACATATGTTGTTGTTATTGTTTAGTGCTGTTGAGTTGGTTCTGACTCATAGCGACCCTGTATAGGGTTTCTAAGGAGCAGCTGGTGGGTTTGAACTGCTGACTTTGTGGTTAGCAAGCCAGTGTTTATTCTTTAGTGCCATACCAGGACTCCATATAATACATATATACACATATATATACACACACACACACACACACACATATACATTGCAGTGGTGCTGTAGGAGAAGCACTGGACTGCTAACTGAAAAGTCCATAGTTCAAATAGCTCCCTCTCTCCCACAGGAAGGAAATTCCACTTTCCACTGAATAAAGCTGGGGTTTCCCCCTTCCCTCCTGTGGGAATGTTGTTGGTAATGTCAAGTCAGTTCCAACTCATAGTGACCCTTTATAGGGTTCTCGAGAGCGACTGGTGAGTTTGAACTGCCGACCTTATAGTTCAAACCGAGCTAGTGGTTTTGGTGCT